CCCTTAGCTCTGACATTGGGGAACAACAGATGTGGGTGACGGAGCTGCCTACTGGAACTCCCAAAGGAATTCCACTATGCCAGGTTAAACCAGTGGCTCTCGGTAAACTTCCAGCTTGACAGAATGCTCTCAGCAGTCAGGATGGCTGCTTTGGGTTTAGCCTATGAAGCAATCTTGTCCTTTCTCAGAACTACTTGAGAAGGAACTTCAGTAGCAAACTGAAGCAGACTCAGTACTTGATAATGCAGGTCCTTCAGATAACTCACTCCTTTGCATTTAGTACCTTTTAAATACAACTTATTTAGGAAAGCCCATAAGCCTTAAACTTGTAAAGAAAGCAAAGGAAGGCAACACCTGAAAGCTAATTTTTGTTAGTTAGCATATTGGGAGCCAGATATAACCAAGTTGTGAGAAAGAACAAGACACTTGGATGTGGCATTCCCTTGGAATTGCAGGTAAATGGGTCCAGTTTATTATGTTACAGTTAAATCAAAATTACGTTCTGAAGAGAGCAGGCTTCTTGCCATAACTTTGATCATAAGATTTCTTTGCTCGGTTCTGGTTTAAGAAAAATAAATTGTGCCAAAGGGTTTTGTTTATTTTTTTAAAGGAGTGTAAGCCAAATGGTGCCAAAAGGTAATAGGGTATTTAAAAGTAGAGATATTTAGACAAACAGTTTGGAGCTGTATAAAAAATGAACACTGGTACTTGTGTTAGACAAATATTGTACCTTTGGTCTTTGAGTCCTTGGGAGTTTGAAACCCAGTTTGCTGTGGTACAAAATGCACAACTAGAGATGCCACTATCTCTTTTTCTTGAAGTTCTACCTCACTTTGCAGAAGTAAATCATCTACCTCAATTTAGCATCAGACAGGTTTGAGAAATGATGGAGAATCTGCCTGGGGGAAGGATTCAGCCTGCCTGTTGGACAAGCATTTCAGTTGAAACAGAGATACTAAGTGTGTACAATGTGGTGACTGCTTTTGTTTGCTTTTGTTTTTGCTGCCTGCCCATGGAAATATTAAGCTGCCCTCGCTAGAGAATCTGTAAATAAACCCAGGTAAACTGGACCGAGATACCCAAACCACTTTTGAGTCTGTTCTGTTTTCACTATGAAGTATGGACATGTGAACTCTTTCAGTATTATGACACTACTAGCTGACATGACACACGCTTCATGTTCATTTGCAGTGTTCTGATGTCTGTAAGGCCTTTAGGTCTTCTCTCTACAAGAGAAAAATGTTGATGCATGCCTACGAGTATGTCCCGTTTGGAAAGACAAACGTTGTGAGTGCTGTGAACACAGATGCGATACCAAATGCTTGAAGGGAATAAGATCCTGATTATTTTATTTTTATTTTATTTTGACCTGGTGATTGTATTAGTGGCTTTCTTGACTCAATGGGATTTTTTCCACCATGACAAAGCAACTAGGTTCCTATTCCTGGAGGGCAGTTCAGGTTCAGACATTCTCAGGAAGGCAGTTTAAAAACCAGTATGTTGGGGTTTTATGCAACTTGAATAGTGACATGCAACGTGCCCCTAGTTTTACCTGTTAAGTGAAGTTGCAGAAGCACATGTTCAGATTACTGTGTTGACAAAACCTTTTTTTCCTCCCCTGCTCATATTAGGGGGTGACAGCAGTGGGTACAGGAGACCCCTGGTAACGACAGGCTGTGTTGGGTTTGGTAAATGTTCTGGTGGAAAATGTACATTGATGTCTCTAAGTGATCTTACGGGTGAAAGAGCCAGACTGGCATCTTTTTCCATCATTGTTTAACCAATAATGGTTCTAAAAATGCTTTGTGTACCTGCATGGTCTTAGACCTTCTATTAATGATTGTATCAACTTACGAACTCAGGTAGATAATTTTTTAAGCTCTTTTCGTAGAGCCTTACTGACTGAATGTTAAGTGTCTGTGTAGTGATGTAGTTAAGTAACTTCCTTTTGAACTACCAGACTAGTTTAAAAAGAAAAAGAAGTCCTTTTATAGGTTTGTAGAGTACTCTTCAGCCAATGTAGTAACTTTTCCTTCAGAGGGAGAGATGTCTGTTTCTGGGTTTTGTTTTTAGTTTCTTTGCTAAAATGACTAAAAGGTTTTTAACTAGTTCATAAGGTGTGTGTAGTCACCTGAGTTGGTGGGGGTTTCTTACTGTATGTGACTCTTGTTTGTACTGTGCATTACCTGTCATGCGCTGCCTGGTTCATGCACAATTCGGTGGAGTAGCGAGGGTGCAATTTCAGTCACAGATTGGCAGCCTTGAACAAAACTGGGGTCATCCACATAGAACCAATGTTACTGCATTTTCTTCCCCTCATTTAACTGTGGATGTACGACCCCATCTTACAAAGCTTCATTACCACTGTGAGCAGCATTGCCTTGGTGCAGGTTTGCATCAGGATCCTGAAGGACTTGGTCAGTCCATAGATGTTTGGCATCTTGAGTTGATTTGGTTTTGTAGTTCCCTCTTCTGTTGCAGTTATTTCTTTCCTACTGTAGTGGCTGCTGATGCTGCTCTCCTAATGATGATAAATGTCTCAGCAGGACAGGCAGCGTTCTGCTTTTAATGAGCTGCTCAGAGCTTTAATATCTAATTGATAATGAGATGGGCAGTGACAAGAACTTCTGTGCTCCAAAAAGGGTATCAATCACATTTCTACTTGGACAAAAAGTGACATGATTTTCAGATGTTGAGTACTGCAGAGAGGGAAGCATGACAGGTTATGTGCAAACTTTTACGTAGAATAAGCAAGCAAAAATGTTAGAACCCTTGTGTTAATGGAGGCTTCTGAATGTATCTTTGTGGTCCATAGGGAAGGCTGAAGGATGTAGCAAGGAGATGATGTATCAGCTACTGGCAGCCTTAAAACAAAGTCAGTGTCTCTCTGGACTTTAAAATGTTCCTATGCAGTTTATTTTATTTTTGTTTAATCAAATAAATGCGAGGAGTTTTTTTTCATGGCAACTTGTGTGTGTGTGTGTGTGTGTTTGTATTGCCCAGGCTGAGCCTTCTGTTGGGATGCACTAAAGAAAACACTTCCCTCAACTTGAACCTGGCTGCCTCTGGATGATGGCTTCTGAAACTTTCACCAGAGGCACCTGCTTTGAAAGGAGAGAGGAGGAGAAATGGTGATGTGCTAAATGTAAAAACCGACACAAAATGTTCTGATGCAGGGTCAAGCTCTGGTTGTCTGGTCTATTAGAAACCAACCTCACTGTCATGACTGGAGGAAATGGCTTTGATACTGAACTCGCTGCCATACTCCATGCAGTTTTTCCAGTATTTTTCCAGAATGTTCCTGGCTTAACCTTGTTAGGCCCAGTTCTAGGCTTATGTGTCAACTTGCAGAACAGAAAAGCTGCTTTTTTTTTTTTTTTTCCCCTTGCTACTTTGGAAAAGGTTTGAGAAGAGATGGTAAGCATGAGAAGATGCTCTTCAAGTAGGGCTTGAGAATTAGGCAACTGAGGGAAAAGGCAAAAGTGGACTATGCCTCCATGAGAGGAGACAGGCCCTTGACTGCTCCCTTCCTAGATGTGTTCTGGCATTTCTTTCCTTCCCCCCCTCTATTAATGCTAAAACTATGCACCTCAACAGCTGAATGTCACCACCACCAACTGCTCCTGTCTTCAAGTAGCAGTGCTGCAGCCAGAAGTGGGGAAAGAAACGAAAGCCCAGAGGTGCTGTGGTCAGTACAACAGGCATTGTCAGGGAGGAGCTGGGCTGAATGCTCCTGCTCCCATGCAAATGCAGCTGCGATAAGACGAGGGATAGGTGGGGAACAACAACTGCATCTATCCTTCCTGCAGCCCCGGGGGGAGCTGGGCACTGCTGGGACTCAGTAAGCAAGTTCTGCATGTGAATGCCCTGCATTCCGGGGCAGGGGGAAGGGCAGAGAGGAATCTTCTCTATTCAGGGCCCTGACCCCACAGGGAGCATCTTTAACCTTTTTGTGTTTAATCAGTCAATCTACTCTGGTTTGGGGGATGGACTTTTTTTCCAGATGGTTTAAAAAGTTCTTAATATTTCTAAACTGCATCTACCTGAGGCCAGAGTAGGGTGCCACCTTCTCCAGTGATACTTACTGAAACAGCTACTTGGGCATTACTCTGAAACCCTTCAAAAGCAGCAAAACTGGTTAGCTAAGAGA